GCTGGGGGCCGGGAATGCGGCGGGAATATCGCCGGGAATGCCGCTGGGAACGCCGGTTTGGAGAGGGGCCGGGGCCGCGCTCCGGGCCCCGCGTCCGTCCCCGGTCGCTGTGGCAACCGCTCGCCAGAAGCCGCCACGCCCGAACTGCTTTCCCAGCCGCTGCTGCTCCTTCCTCCCTGTTCGCTCTTCTCTGAGCACGGCAAAATGGCCGGGAATGCGGCGGGAATATCGCCGGGAATGCCGCTGGGAACGCCGGTTTGGAGAGGGGCCGGGGCCGCGCTCCGGGCCCCGCGTCCGTCCCCGGTCGCTGTGGCAACCGCTCGCCAGAAGCCGCCACGCCCGAACTGCTTTCCCAGCCGCTGCTGCTCCTTCCTCCCTGTTCGCTCTTCTCTGAGCACGGCAAAATCAAAATGCTGTGGTTCATTTCCCTCATGCTTGAATCGGAAGGGTTAATAGCTTCATATCTTGAGCGGATTTATTTTATTAATGTTACAGAAAAAAAGTTAGTGAATATTTAATAAATTTATCCCGTGATGAAACATTCCGATTTGCGGTTGTTTGTCTGTTGTTTTGGGGTTTTTTTTAATCAATTATATCACACTTTTTAGTGCTTTCAAAAAACAATTAATTAATTGATGATGCAAAAAGTGGGAGGAGTGGCTGATACAGCAGTAGGTCATGCTGCATGCAGAGGGACCTCAATGAACTGAAGAAATCATAGAATCATGGAATTTTTGGGGTTGGAAGGGACCTTATAGATCATCTAGTCCCACACCCCTGCCATGGGCAGGGACACCTCCCACTAGACCAGGTTGCTCAAGGCTTCATCCAACCTGGCTTTGAGAAGCCCAAAGAAGTTGGTCGAGGGGACGTGCAAAGCTGTGTCCCTGGGGAGGAACAGCCCCAGGCACCAGCACGGGCTGGGGGCGACCAGCTGGAAAACAGCTCTGCAGAAAAGGTCATGGACACCAAATTGAACATTGGCCACCAACGTGGCAGCAAAGAAAGCAAATGGTACCCTGGGGCGCATTGGAGGAGTATTGCCAGCTGTGGAAGGAGGTGATCCTGTGCTTTTTATCCAGTGCTGGTGAGGCCACACTTGGAGTGCTGCATGCAGCTCTGGGCTCTCCAGCACCAGAGAGACACAGACATACTGGAGAGAGACCAGCTAAGGGCCATTAATATGATAAAGAGACTGGAGTTTCTCTTTTTTGAGGAAAGGCTGGGAGAGCTCAGACCATCCAGCCTGTGGATGAGTGAGTATGTTGGACCAGATGGTCTCCAGAGATCCCCTCCCACCTCAACCATCCTGTTATTCTACCAAATAAGCATATAGATAACACACTGAAGTCAAATTTTTTACATGTACAAGGCTGCTGTGTTGGGACACAAAACTGCATCAACTGATCAGTGACAAAACATATTGCTTCCAATGAAACCAAGATTAGGACTTTATTTCTCTTTCAGGCAAAGTGACACAAAATGTTGTTATGAGCAAGCATGTTCCACTTTGACCTTTGTTAGAAATGCAGACAGGGTGCAATAGTCCCACCTTACCAATTTCAAATTTCTTACATCCTTCTCTCTGAGGATACGGAAGATCATAGGATGTCCTTATTTCAGTGGTGGAATCCAAACTCAATGTACCTGGGAGCTGCTTGTTCTGGGAAATGTTTCTGTAAAAAATGTATGTTAATGTTCTGAAAGTTAAATTTGGACTTAGTTTGTTCCCCACCATGGCTGTAGATTTTGCAGGTGTCTAGGGCTCAGTCATTTGACTGATAGAGAGAAAAAAAAAAAGCTATGAGAAGTTTCAGGAAGAGTAGTTATTCATTAAGATCTGAACGAGGATTCCATGATCTAGTGCCACAGAGTATTAATCAATCATTTGTGTACTCTCCAGGATGGCAGTAATTTGGTGGAGTACAAAAGTCCTTGTCTTCAAAGAAGCTTTTGGAAACACCTGTGTAAAATCACCAAGGGCTATATTTCTTACTCCTCCTCAGCATGTCTCCCACAGGACACAGTTCTCCATGAACTTCTCCAATGTGAATCCTTCCTGTGAATTGCAGTTCTTCACAAACTGCTCCAGTGTGTTTCCCTTCCACAAGGTTCAGTCTCACATATTACCACTTCTCTCTCACAGCTGCTGGTGTTGCACAAGGCTTTTTCCTCCCTTCATAAATGTGTTATCCTGAGGTGCTACCCCCATTGCTGGTGGGCTCAGTCTTGGCCAACAATGTGTCCATCTGGGAGCCAGTTGGCATTTGCTCTATCCGACGGGGCAGGGAACTTCCAGCAGCTTCTCAGAGAAGCCAATGCTGTATCCTACCCCCATTACCTTTCCTGCTAGGTGGGTCTGTCCTTTGCGGGTGTTGGGGCTCTGGCTGCCAGGGGCATCTGTGAGCTGCTGAGCCAGGGCAAGGCCAGGAGTGCTGTGATGGGTTCTGGCACATGTGACATTGCAGGGGATGTGTTCACAATGGGGGCAGTCGTCAGGGCCTGGGCCAGCAGTGAGGGTGTATGGGGGTAGGCTGGGCTGGCCCCTGGGGATGTGTTCTCACCCTGCATTGAGGGCCCAGCCACCTGCCAGCAGCTTTGCCCCTCTCCTACCTGTCCCCAGCTCCTTGTAGCTCCCATCCTCACTCCCCCACTACCAGTTCCCTCTCTCCCAGTCTCACTCGACCCCTTCTCTCCCTCCTCCTGCAGGCCATGGCTGCCTGAATGTTCTTTGCCCTGGTGCAAAGAATCATCCAGCACCTGCAGATGGTTGGTAGTGAGATGAATGAGGCCACACATGAGCTCATGCAGCAGCATGAGGAGATGCTGCGCTGGGAGATGACTCGGCTGCTACAGGAGCTGGAGCAGAATGACATGGCCTATGGGCACCTGCCCTTCACTGCCTTGCTCCATTGGCAGTGCTGGGCTGTAGCCCTTGTTGTGCTCTTGGTGTGCTTGTTGGTGCTGTGGTGGTGCCATTTTTTTGAGAAATCATCACAGAAGCTTTAGATGAAGACAAAATTAAGATCTGTATTTGTTTCCCTTGGTACTTCTAGCACTTCAAATTAAAGTGTTTATGCTATTAAGCCATGATTGCCAGCAGAAGATACAGCTCTTGCCTTAATTCCTCTATTTTACCAACATGAACACCACTGGGTTCATGTGGGTAAGCTCCCTGGTTAAAACTACTATAACCCCACAAGTTGTTTGTTTGAAAGCTGGACCAGTTTCTCAAGTGTGTTTTGTGCAGTAAGTTCAAGTTTAGATAGCTACTTCTATTTATGCAACATACTACTACAGTTCATTTCATCACACTGAAGTGGATGGTCCTCCTTAAATCATCTCCATTACACACTTGCATGATCAGAACAATTAAGCAATTGGGATTAGAGCACCTCAGTCAAAGACAAAGACAAAGACAATGAAGTAACATCCTAGATCTGTGCCATTAAAATCTGCTAAAGCCTGAGTAAAGTAAAAGTGAAGTTATTAGAAAACTATCTGTTTGTTAGGGTAAACATTACATCTTTATAGTGTTTGTAACTTCTATTTAGTGAATATTGCATCTTACCTACAGTAGAGATGACAATGTTGATTTGGGAAATGCAAGATCCTGTCTCGAAAGGTGAGTGATAAGAACAAAACACACAATCTTCACCATAGAGAAAATAACAGCCAAAAATTGTAACGAAGTTTTA